GGTGCGCCAGGGACGTGGCCAGCAAGACCCTTGCCGCGGTCAAGTTCTACTACCCTCAGGTCGGGAGGTCCGACGCGCTGAGCTTGCCGAGGGCGACCCGGGCGCTGGCTGGCTGGGCCAAGGTGGCGCCGCGAGCGACGCGGATGCCAGGGCCGTGGCCTCTTGCAGCGGCGCTGGCTGGGCATCTACTGTCCAGGGGCGCACTGGAACACGCTGCGGCGCTGCGGCTGGCCTTCAATGCCCAGGCGAGCGGGGTGCGCTGACGCCCGCGCAGCTGGTCGCGCCGGTGGCGGGCGCTCCCCAGTCGGCTTCGCTGCTGGGTCCGAGCCAGCTGGGGGCGCCGACAGTGGTAGGCGCCTTCGACGAGAGGGTCGTGCTGGACGGAGTCGGGTACCTGTGCAAGCGCCTCGCGGTGCTCAATCGGCGCGGCCAGCGCGTGGCCGACAAGCTTTGGAGCTTCACCCGCGACGGCCTCTCCGCGGAGAGGCAGGTGTCGGCGGAGGCGCGGGGGCTGGGCCAGATGGGGCTGGCCGCCCACGGCCTCCGACACGGCGGCGCGTCGCGCGACCTGCTGACCAGGGCGCGCTCGGCGCTGGACGTCAAGTCAAGGGGGCGCTGGCACTCAGACTCAGTGCCGAAAAGGTACGGCAAGGAGGCGAGGGCCCTAGCGGAGCTGCACAAGGCGCCAGCCCAGGCGCTCGAATTCGGGCGGCGCGTCGCCGCCAGGCTGGGGGTCATTTTCCTAGAGCGCGAGGGCCTGCCGCCGCTGCCAGCGCTGCCGGCGGGGCGTCGCTAAGCGATGGCGAGGTGAAAGTGAGGGCGCGTCGAATCTTGAGAAAGGCGTTGGCTTCCGCCCAGGCTTCGCGGAAACCGGTTTTTCTGGAGGTGTACTCAGGCCAGGGGGGTATGTCAACAGCAATGCGAAACCTCGGTGTTGGGGTGGTGCGCGTAGATATTTTAAAGCCCCCCTTGGTTTGACCTGGATAGGCCGTGCGTCCAGAAGGTCGTGAGGGGGTGGATCACGGGGGGCGTCGTCGTCGGTCTCTGGTTGGACACGCCATGTTGTTCGTGGTCTCAGGCTCGCCATGGGCCCCCAAATAGTAGCTGGTGCCGTCTCAGAAGCCCTTCTCACCTTTGGGGGGGGGGGGGGCCCAATCTGAACCCCCGTGCCCGCCTTGCCTGTGAGAAGGGCAACTTTCAACTTAAGTTTAGTATTTCCCTGATCCGTGCGTGCCGCAACAATCGCGCGCCTGCGGCGCTGGAGAATCCGAGTAGCAGCTGGGCGTGGCAGACTTCTCAACTCGCCCGCATCTCGGGGCGGCCGGATAGCCATCAGTGTGTCGTGGATTTCTGTGCCTTCGGAACCCGCTGGTGAAAGCGCACTCGGGTCCAGGTCTGGAGTTCCAGTTTTCGGGTAAACCTCTCCGGGCCGTGCCGAGGGCGTTCTGGCCAGTGCAGTTTTTCGGGCAAGCGCCACATAGTTTCTCTTTGGCCGTGACCCAGGCTCGGGCAAACTGTGGACCAGTGTCGCGGAGCCGTACCCCGTCCGTTTTGTAACTTGTTCGCCCGAGCCTTAGAGCAAACGATCCAGTCGCTGAAATTGAGGCGACTCCGACAGATTGTTAGTTGCGGTGAATGCCAGAATCCCATGCGGGGTGTCTTGGGGTGTCTCTCTTCCTCTCTCGTTCGGTGTGTTTGTGTGTTTGTGGTGTGTGTGTGTGTGTGTGTCTGTGCTGTGTGTGTTGTGCCGTTCGTTCGTCTCCTTCTCCTCCGCCGAGCTTGGAGCGTGGCCCGTCCTGTCCTGCTCGACCCGCCTGTCCCGAGGCACACAAACTGTCCTGGCCTGGTTGAGCGTCGCGATGGGGAGTTCTTGAACAGTAATCGCTGAGCGTTGGAGGGCCGCGCGGTGCTTGCATCTGCTACCGCTTCGGCCCAATTTTTTGTTCGGACCCGCCCGATGCCTCCCTTCTTTTTATGTTTCTCTCTTCCTCTCTCGTTCGGTGTGTTTGTGTGTTTGGGTGTTTGTGTGTTTGTGGTGTGTGTCTGTGCTGTGTGTGTTGTGCCGTTCGTTCGTCTCCTTCTCCTCCGCCGAGTTTGGAGCGTGGCCCGTCCTGTCCTGCTCGACCCGCCCGGCCCGAGACACACAACATGTCGCGGCCTGGTTGAGCGTTGCGATGCTGATGATGGTGGTAATGATGATGGTGATGATGATGATGGCGGTGGTGATGATGAGGAGGGGGAGGATGAGAAGGAGGCGGAAGAGGAGGACGAGGAAGGGGAGGAGGAGGAGGAGGAGGAGGAGGAGGAGGAGGAGGAGTAGGAGGAGGAAGAGCTGCGGGATGCTAGGAGAAGGGGTGTTGTGAGGAGCAACAGAGGTGGAGGAGTGAGGGCAAGTTTGAGGGGGGGGGCCAGGGGGACAGACGTGACGAGTCCTGGCAGCGGGGAGGTATGGGAAGGCCCTGTACGGAAAGGATGAAAGAGGAGGAGGAGGAGCAGAGCCCTCTCCTTGGGGCTCCAGGCCCCCGTGAGGCGAGGAAGGGGGGGGGATGAGCGCGAGGAAACATGACACTACGCGAAGGGGAGCGCCGAGGCAGCTGCGGGGAAGAGCGAGAGCAGGCGGACGAGAGAAGCGCGCACGCCTCGACGAGCGGAGCGGCGCACGAGCGAAGCGGCGCACGAGCGCACCGTCCTGAGACCGCAGATTTCCCGTCGTGTTCCCCGCCGTTCCGTCCTTTCTGCTCCGCCTGCCTGTCCTCTCGCTGTTTGGGTCTCTTGGTCTCTCGAACGGGTGGGCGTGGCCGCCACTTTGCACAGCTCGGGATCTGGTCCCGGTCGCCTTCTCTAGGCCTACATGGTCGAGTCCTCTACCCATCAGTTGGGGCGCTGGCATCTCTCATCATCAGGTGCTTGCGCTGGGGAAAAAGAAAAAATCCCGTCGTGTTCCCCAATCAGTGCTTGCACTGAAGGTGTCCTAGCGGAAGTTAGAAGATTTGGCGAAAGCTTCCCGCCGATTTTGGTAGCAGGCTGGGTTCCTGGGTTCCCGGTTCCGGGTCCCCGGGTTCCCGGTGATTGGTTCCAGGCCGAGTTCGGTGGTTTCTGGGTTCCCGGCTCCCGGATTCGCGGTCGATCTCCTTATTGAAAACCATCCAATGGTTGGGTTTTTTCTCTGGTGCACTTGTTTCTCGAAAGCGCGAGGCTGTCAGTGGATGCCGCAGCGGGCGAGCCCCGCGGCGACAGTCGAGCATATGATGGAGAAGCATTCGCCCGAGGAGCTGGCCCGGGTTCCACTGTGAGAAGCGTCCCGCACGCTGGCTCCCAATGTCTCAAATCATAGTTTAGGGGGCCACATGCGAACCCTACCCCTACCCCCCACGATCATTGAGGGGGAGGGTGGGGTTCTCTTCGCTTGGGAGCTCACGAACGAAGTGAACCCCACCCTCCCCCTCAGAAATCGTGGGGGGTAGGGGTGGCGACGACGACGACGACGACGACGACGACGACGACGACGACGACGAGCGCTCTTGGGGGCCTCTTGGGGGTAGTTTGTGGGCCTCGTGGGAAGCTCTTAGGGGCCGCTTGGAAGCACCGTGGGGGCCTCTTGGGGCTTCCTGGGGGTCTATAGTTTGCTTGAACATATTTCCGGCTGTATTCATCAGATCTCTCTGACTCGGCCGCCCTTCGCCGGCCGGGTGGGTGGGGGGGGGGGGGGCGACCATCGGGGGGCGCCCCTGGCAAGGACAGGCGTCCTCGCGCGAGTCTCGGGGGGCCCCTGCGGCGAGCTGCTCTTCTCCCCCCCCGTGCGCAGCGGGCCGTGCCCCCCCCCCCCACACCCCCCCCCTTGGATGTGGGACCCGCCCTGCTGCGACGTGCGTGCCAGGAGGCTGCCGCAACGGCCTCGGGGGAAGCGCCTGCCTGCGATGACGAGCTGTGGAGGCATCTGGAATCGATGTGAGTTCGCAGATCGGGCCGAGGAGCCCCGGCGCACCCGCCGTTCCCTACACGGGACGCCATCTGGGCGACATCGGCGTCGCACCCCCCGCTCCCACCCGTGCTCAGCGAGGAAGGAACGGGGGGAGCCCATATATCGATCCGAGGCTCCGAAGAAAGTGAGGCGGTCGGTGTTTGGCTCTTTGCGGCCTCCGGGGGGCCCTCAATGGGCCCCGCGACAAATACAAAGCGACTCGGGATCAAAAGCCGGCCCTGGGGAAGTTGTCCACCCCTCCAGGGGTTCACACATCCTAGAGCGCTAGATTCGCTGGATACACATGACATGGCTGGCCTGGGTGCGCATTCAGCGCATGGCCTCCAGGTGTTCTCCTCGTGTGGATCCAGCTATATGTTTAGCCAGCTTCCTTGCGCTGTGCCGTTCTAGGGGGTCCCAGTGAGCGGGGTACAACAATTTACAAAAGGCTCTCCCTCCTCCTGCTCCTCCGCATGCCGATGCTGCTGCTGACCCCACTCCTTTTTCTCGTCCTCGTCCTCGTCCTGCCCCTTCCCTCCCCTCTGCCCTCCTCCGCTCATCCTTCCCGTTCATCCCGCTTGCCCGAGCCCGTGAGATGGCATACTGACGGGAAGAGAGGAGCGGGGGAGGGACAGCTCGGGAGACTTGCAGGGCCACCAGCGCCCCACTCCCTGGCACTTCCTGCCGCCCACTGCTCGCATGGGGGTGCGTGCACGTGAAGGAGGGGGCTGGCCGCGGGCATTCTCTGTGCTGACCGCAACCACCGCGGTCCAAGCCTCTTCCGCCTGAGATAGGCGCTCATGCCCCGCCCCTGTGCCCTAGCCGTCCTCGCTACGCCATACGTGGCCGGTGTCTGGCGGCTGTTCCTGGAGCGGCCTGGGCTGGCGCTGGAGGGCTTCTCGTGGCTGGCGGAGTTCGCGCTGGGCTCGGCGAGGCGCCGCGGGGAGCGGACCACAGATCGGGAGACCGCCAGGGACGCGGAACCCGGAGGACTTTTTCGTGTGGTGCAGGAGTGTACCCCTTGTCCGGCACCTGAGAGGTGCGAGGAGTTGACCTTCGCGGCTGCTTGCGACTGCGGGAACGTGAGCTTCGAGGCCCGCGAGTGCAGCCCGTGCCCCGCTCCTGAGAAGTGCCCCGAGTTCGCGGGACCGCCCTGGGAGCCGGAGTGTCAGGAGGCGCCATTGCTCGTCTCTGAGGACGAGCCGGAGTCGACGCCAGTCGGTTGGTGGCAGCTGTGCTTCGGAGCGGCAACTACGTTTCTGAGTGGAGTGCTGGCTTCGTGTGGCTGCCACGAGAGGCCTTGGGAACATGGCGCTCGCCGACCGCACTACGCCATTGCCAGGGCACACGTTCGTGGTGCTCTTCGAGGGTGACGCCTGGGGGCACGAACGAGTACTTGTGTGGCCGCTCTCGGCCTCGTGCTGGCTGATCTACACAGCCAATGGAGATTTCTATGGGGAGGATACCGCGCTGTATGACAAGGTCGTGGCGCTCAAGTCCTTGGGGGAGCGACCCGCAGGGCTGGAGGCCGAGTCGATCGTGCAGTTCGACGGCCCCATCCAGCGGGGTGAGTTCCTGGACCTGATGGAGTCCGCTCAGAGGCACGTCGGCGCGCTGAGGGACCAGCGCGGACTGCCGGACTGGCCTGCACCCACGCGCTGGATCACGGCCGAGGGGATGCTGGAGGCAGTGCCGCGGCCTCGGCGGCTCGCCGGGCGGGGCCGCCTTCCCATGCCCGGCCCACCCCTGCCGTTGACGGCAGCCGCGCGTGCGCGGTCGGGGCCGGGTGGCGACCTTCGTGGCGACCTCTTGGGGGCCGCGCTCAGCAGGGCCGAGGCCGGGGGGGCGCCCGCCGTGGTCTGGCGAGTGGCCGAACCTGGACTGGAGATCGGCGACATCGGCACGGAGGTTGCTCCGCGCTTGCTCGCGTTCGCAGGCCGTGTGCATGGAGTGGCGGTGACCGACGCCGGCGTGGAGGTCCCAGTGATAGGCGTCGACCCCAGCATGAGCTTGGAGGACTTCAGGACCCAGAGGCTGGCGCTGTTCTCGCCACCGACGCCGCGTGGGGCGCCGTCAGCCGCCGTCGAGCTGGACGCCGATCCAGTCGCAGCTTTCCGCCGAGAGGCTGGCGGGCGCGAGGCAGACGTCGCGGGCGTCGGCAGCCCGCTCGAGGAGCGGCAGGTGGCCGCTCCAGCTGCCAGCGCAGAGGAGCCCTCCGCGGACGTCCGAGTGCTCGCGGTCGACTGGGACCCGCAGGGAGAGAGGCACAAGGATTGGAAGATGGTCTGCGGTGAGTCAGTCTCGCACTCGTTCCGAGACTGGCCTCTCGACGGACCTTGTACGACACTCAGCGTGATGAAGCATATCGGTCGGTTCGGCCCGATGCCCACCTCGTGGCTGGAGGCCTGGGCGAGACGGAAGCACATGTCGCCGTCGGACAGGGCCTTCCACGAGCTGCGGGTGCTCGCCGAGAGCTTCGAGATGTTCGGGTGCTACGACCAGGTCAACATGCCGTGCTTGGCGGGGATCGAGGTGCTGATGCGGAGGTTCCAGACCATCATCGAGGCTCACGCTGTGCCTGGCGCCAAGCCGAACTACTCCATGGCCGGAGTGTACTCGGGGACGGCGATGCTGGAGGACGCAGTAGCACCAGACCTCCGCGTGTACGGCGCCAAGAGGCTCAAGGAGAAGGTGCTGGAGGGCAGCGTGCATCGTGGAGGACTGACACTCAAGCACGTGGAGGACGGCGAGGACGACGACACGGCCGGGGCCCCAGCGGGTCCGAAGGGCGGCGGGGGACGCGGAACCGGGAAGCCGAAGATGAAGGGCAAGCCCGGGCTCACCGCGCCCCCGCCTTCGACATGAGCGAGGCGCGCGGCGGGGGGGCTGGGCCACCCCCCGCCGCCTATTTTGGGCCCTGCCTGGGAGTGCATCGGCGTCTGCCCGCCTTCGAGGTCCCAGCCAGGCTGGGCGGCTCCTCCCGTCGGTCCAGACACCGACACGGGCTGCGCGTGGAGGAGCTCAGGCGCAAGAACGAGACCTTGGATGCACTTCATTGGTGTCTGGGCAGCCGCTCTTCAGCCCGCTCAGAGCCATCTGAATTCGATGAGAAGGCCGTGGCGACCCTCGTCGCCCCTGTCGTCGCGAAGCCGGTGACAGCGCCCTCTCAGGAAGAAGCCGCCAGAGTGCTTCTCCGTGGTCATCTCAGCTACGACGCCGAGGAGACCCACACCACCGTCGTGCCCTACGAGTTTGGTTCCGTCTCGCTCCCTGACCATGTCCATGACGCTGCAGATGTGGCAGAGGTGCTTGGCGCTGAGGACCGCCTGATTATCGAGGGTTGGCAAAAGAGTATGATGCGGTCTACCGATGAGTATACACAGTTCAACGAGTGGCTGGGTGACATCAAACCGTTCTGGGACAAGAGGCTGTCGCGGAACCAGAAGGCCTATCGGCAGTTCATCCTCGACCTTGACCGACGAGGCCTGATCAAGTGGACCACTGACCCCATCGAGCACGCGGGCCTTTTCTTTGTTGGCAAGAAGGACAAGTCCTTGAGGCTCATCATCGACGCAAGGCGGGGGAATCGCCGATTCAAGGCCCCCCCTCACACGGACTTGATCACGAGCGACGGGCTGTCCAGGATAGAGTGCGAGCCAGGCTTCAGCGTCGACCCCAGTTGCTGTTTCACGCTAGGTGTGGGAGACGTGGAGAACTGCTTCCACCGGCTGCGGCTGCCCGATGGGATGCACCGCTGTTTCGCGCTGCGGCCGATCGCCGCAAAGTACACCCCACTGCGTGATGACATGGCGCTCAACGCCGCGGTCTATCCCTGCCTGGCTTCTTTCCCCATGGGGTTCACCTGGTCCCTGTGGGTGGCTCAGAAGTGCAGTGAGACGGTCCTCAACCAGGTGCACCAGCTGGGACCTGGCAGGAGGATCACGGACCACGCGGAGCCGGTCGTGCTGCGGAAGGGCGCCGAGACCCAGTACACCCTGTACGTGGACAACCTGGGCGTGTTCGGGAGTTCGGAGGCGCCCGTGCAGCGTGCGCTCGGCGCCGGCTGCGAGGCGCTGGGAGCGGTGCGGCTCAAGACACACGAGCACGAGCTGATGGCGGGAGGAGGCGAGACGTTGGGCTGCGTGCTGGACGGACACCTGCTCGAGACGCGGGTGACCGAGAAGCGGAGGTGGCGCATCGACGGCGCCTTTCGCTGGGCCCTGCGCCGCCGGCGCCTGAGCGGCAAGCAGCTCGAGAGGCTCGTCGGTCACGCCACTTTTGTCAGCCTGCTCGACCGCACTGCCCTGAGTGTGTTCCACGCCTGCTACGCCTTCATGCATCGGCATGGTGAGAACATGGCCGTCGTCTGGCCGACGGTGCGGCTAGAGCTCCAGGCCTTCATTGGTTCGTTGCCGCTCGTGCGCGCTCCGTGGGACCTGCGGTGGTGCGAGACTATTATTGCTACAGATGCCTCCCTCGAGGGATGGGGGCATTGCCGTTGTGCACTGACGGCCAAAGCTGTGGCCAGTATTGCTCGTACCTCAGAGGCGTCTCGCTTCCGACGGGTGCATAACGTCGGGGCTCGCGAGGCCGCCAGTGCAGCACTGTATCCTTTAGAAGAGGCAGGCGAAAAACACCGTCAGACGCCGTTCATTGACTCCGCCAGCGTTGTCGACATAGGGGAGGCGTTGCCGTCGTCGTCAGGGGAGGAGGTCTGGATGATCGACAGCTTGTTCCCGGAGGTGCCGTTCGGGGAAGGGGGCGTGTTCTCGGCCCGGGGCTGCATCACTGAGAAAGATTTGATATCATCTTGGAGAGTCACTGGAAAGGGGAGGTGGAAGTTCGGAGAGCGCATCCTGGAGTTAGAAGCTCGTGCATTGGTTCTAGGTTTGGAAAGTTTGATCGCCGGGGGAGTCCGTGACAGTCGCAATCTTTTCCTGGTCGACAACATGGCTATTGTGCTTTCCTTTGCACGAGGGAGATGTAAGAATTATATTGTGCTGCAACAGATTCGACGCTTTCGGGCTCTATGTCTTATTCACAGTATCCGTCCGTATTTTCGCTGGATCAAGTCCGAGTTCAACCCGGCAGACTCCCCATCGCGAGACGCCGATGGAGTCGGGCCGGGGGCAGGCAGCCGCTGCAGCCAGGCGGACGACGGCGGCCAAGAGGGCCGCGCGCCTGGCCCCGCCAAGGCGCCCAGCCCCGAGCCGCCCCTCGCCTGCCCGCCCCGGGTTGGGCCAGGGAAGGGCGCCGAGGCCGACGGCCGCCGTGGCGCGGAGGCCAACGCCCAGGCGAGCCCCCGTGCTGACCGCCCCCGCCTTGCTGGGGCCGCGGCCGGCGCCGAAGCTGGAGAGGCTCTCGGTAGAGGAGGCGGCGCGGGGCCCGCTGCTGGCCGAGGTCCCCGAGGGGGGCGCCGACGGCCTGGGCCGCGACGCGGCATCCGCAGCCCTCGAGAGCTCCGACAGCGACGACCTGGACGAGACCACAGTCGCTCGGAGCAAGCGGAGGCGGACCAAGTACCTGCTAGCCGCCCGGCACTCCATGGACCAGTTGAGCACCCTGCTGGAGTCGGAGGCCGTGCAGCCCAAGACCAGGGACTACTACCACCTCCTGGTCTCTCGCTTCTACACTTGGGCGAAACTGAGGCGACTGCAGCTCCGCCCGCCTTGCCGCCTCGACGGGGCGCTGTGTATCCATATGACGGAGCTTTTCCTGAGCGGACGGCAGGCGAATGTGGGGGAGAAGCTGCTAGCTGGTGTCTTGCATATCCTCCCGGAGTTTGGGAAGGTGGGGCACCTGTCGCTCCCGCGCGCCTGGAGGGCAGTCAAAGGCTGGAGACGCCTGTGCCCGGGTCGGAGCCGCCACCCTATGCCACTGTGTGTGTGGGCGGCCGTATGCCACTGGCTGATCGAGCAGGGCAAGCGCCGCGAGGCGGCCGCAATCCTGCTCGCCTTCATGTGCTACCTGAGGCCGTCAGAGTTGCTCAACGTGAGGTGTGGGCATCTGGTGGCCCCGGTGGGGGGCGTATCCCGCCACTGGACCTTGCTGGTGGCGCCCGAGGAGCTAGGCGCCCCTACCAAGGTCGGGACACTCGACGACAGCCTGCAGCTGGACATGCGGGAGCTCAAGTGGCTAGATGTGGTCTGGAACGAGCTCAGGACGAGGCCGGCGACGGAGAGGGCCTTCCCCTTCACGTATCCAGACCTACTGGCGGACGTGCAGGCTGCAGGTGCCACGCTGGGTTTGAAGCTCGTCCCGTATCAGTTGCGACACAGCGGGGCCTCCCACGACACGCTGCGCGAGCTTCGGAGTTTGCAGGAAGTGATGAAAAGGGGGCGGTGGCGCAAACTGAAGTCAGTAGCACGATACGAGAAACATGCTCGAGTGGGTTTGGAGTTCGGAAAGCTGGACGCCTTGACCCGAAGCCACTGTCTGCGATGCGAGTCACTGCTCGCGGATGTGTTCCTCGGCAGGCGCGCCCCGCTAGCCTTCGGTCGCCAGCATGTGTGAGTAAGACGTATGTAGCTGATTGTTTCGCTGGATGTGGAGTAGTTAGCAAGAAAATTCGGTCTAATGGTTTCAACGCTCGCGAGTGGGACCTCTTGCATGGGGCCTCGGGAGATCTGTGCAGTAGCTCGGTGCGTAGGCCCATCAAACAAGATCTCGCTAATAGACGTTGTATAGCCCTGATGCTTGCTCCTCCTTGTAGCTCGTGGTCTGCCGCTCGTGATCGTACATATCCAATTCGGTCTCGGAAGTATATCAGGGGGATCCCTGGGTTGGGGGCAAACGGCCAGGCCAAGGTCGATCTCGGCAACGCCACGCTGGACGCAGCTCTCGACTTGGCCCGTGCCGCCCAGTCCGCCGGGGTCCCCTGGGTTCTCGAGAACCCTCACACTTCCAAAATGTGGCATGATCAGAAGATGAAGGTTTTTGTTGCACGCAGCGGTGCCATTCCAGTTGTTACAGTTTTTTGTCAGTGGGGCAAGCCGTGGCGGAAACGGACCCGTTTTTTAGTCGGTAATGTGTGCCCTGACGACCTTGTCAAGTTGAATCGGGTCTGCTCAGGGAGGGGTCTTTGTAGTCGCACAGGCCGCCCTCACCAGCACTTGGAAGGCGGAGGGCCAAAAGGAATCCGCTGGACGGTCCTGGCAATGCCGTACCCTGCGCGCCTTGCTCATGTGCTGGCTTCCATTCTGGTCTCGAAAGCCCGCAACGAATATAACATTTGAGAACTCTTTCCTTCGGATTGGGAGGTTTGGGATGCTTGTCTCACGTTGTTCAGTTTCTTCGCTCGCTCACTTTAACTTTTCGAGGCTCTCGTGCCCTCGTCCGCTCGCTCCCTGACGTCGCGGCGATGGCACAAGATGGTTAGTTGACAAATACATCGTCGAGCGGCCTGCTTTCCCCTCCTGGGGGTGCGTGCACGTGAAGGAGGGGGCTGGCCGCGGGCATTCTCTGTGCTGACCGCAACCACCGCGGTCCAAGCCTCTTCCGCCTCCCTGTGCCAGCCCAATGCCTCTGCTCCAGGATGCTTGTCTCACGTTGTTCAGTTTCTTCGCTCGCTCACTTTAACTTTTCGAGGCTCTCGTGCCCTCGTCCGCTCGCTCCCTGACGTCGCGGCGATGGCACAAGATGGTTAGTTGACAAATACATCGTCGAGCGGCCTGCTTTCCCCTCCTGGCACTTCCGGTTGCCAGTGCACCGCTTCCGCCAGCAGAGAAGTGGGCCGAAGAAGGTCAAGCAGCAGTTGGCTCGCAAGCCCGATGGCGACGGTCTGCGGTAACCAAGCTGGGCGCATTCGCGGGGGCCACACCCTAATTGTGGGCTCCGCGCAGGGTTCTTACCGCGAGCTTGCCAAGGGCTCTGCGCGCATGCAGGGGTGCATGTGGTCCTGTTTCTGACCTTGCGAGCTCACTCTCGCGTTCCTGGTTCAGGGCCCGAGCCACAGGGATAGTAAGAATGGACCCCCCCCTGTTCCGAGTTCGGTGCCGAACCTCCTCACGATCAACTCTGTCTTTTGCCTGCCCGATCCCCTCCTGCCACCTGTACGTCTGCCCCCCTCCCCCCCTGTCCCTACTGCCACGAGCGGTCGGCAAGTGTGTGTGTGTATGCGGTTTTGCACAATGCCAATGTCCGCACCAAAGACCTTCCCTTGGACGCTGACGGGATGTCGGCACGTGACGCCGAGCGCACGAGGGAGGGATGGTCGGGGACGCAGGATCTGAGCTGGCTATATACAGGTTTGCCCATGAGGTCACACACTTGCAGGATGTGAGCGCAGTCGCGAGGCGCTTGCTTGTCAAAGCCACGCGCAGGAGCGTTGGGCGCACCGCGCGGCGAGCGAGCGTCCACAGGCTCTCAGTCTGCCCGCCAGGCTCACTTCTCGGCGGCCGTGCGGAAAGCAAAAACCCACTCGAACAAGCCGTTTGGCCCAAGTCGCCAGGCGCAGGCAGCCGACGCGGTTCACGCACACTGGGCAGCATGCCGAGCGCTGGGCCGCAGATGCTCACAGGATGGGGCGAGGGCGAAGGCCCCCCCTCCTGAGAGACGCGGTGCGCGCAGTGCCAGGCCCACCGGCGAATGGCCGAGGGCCCGCACGATCGAGGCGAGCGAGGACGACCTTCCGGGCGCTCCGAAACAAAAAAAAACGCACCGCTCCCCTCTCGCTTCGCCGCGCGGCCGTGGAGGCCCGACCGAGCCGAGCCCCCGCGCCCCGAGAGGCGCTGGCGGCCACCGAGGGCGAGCAGGAGAGCTCGGACTGGTCCACGCGCCGCCTGGCGGTGGCACTGGGCCGGAGAAGCCCGCCCCCGTTCTGCCGCTTCGAACCCCAGACGTGATCGTGTCGTGAAAAGATCTCAAACGACGCGAAGATCGGGGCAACATCGGATCGGGATAACTCGAAATCTCTGGGACTGGGCGGGTTTGGCGGATGTATTGGGCGCCGCGGCCGCTCCAGAGCGCTCCGGAACGCTCTGGAGCCCTGTTTTAAAATGAGGACGGGAGGTTTTTGGCTGTTCTCGGCCCCCGGGGGCCCTGGCTGGGCCTCGGGACCGTCAACAAGACGACTCAAGGACGAGAAGCCGGTCACGGGGAAAGGATCGGAATTTCCAGGGACGCCGTCCTGAACAAAATCGTCCACCATCTTGCGCAATTGCTTGTCCTACTTCATTAGGGTGATGTGCAACACGCTCAAGAGGGAGCAGGCAGCCGCGAAAGAGGAGCAGGCAGCTGCGCAGGCGCCAGCCCAGCTGCCAAATCGTGGCTCAAACCCAGCTCGTCAGTGGCATACGAAGGACCGAGCCGAATCCAGCAAGAACGTGGCATACGAAGGACCGAGCCGAATCCAGGACGTCGCATGTCTGGGACAGTTTCTTTTTGATTCGGCATCTCTAGTTTTGGAGCAGCTGCAGAGCCCTTCAGTGTACACATCGCGCGGGCGTGATCGTGATCATCAGGCCGCAACCTCGATGGCGCTGAGATCGGGATTCTACTCCAGCTATGTCCCAATAGCAATTTCCGCCCCCCCCCCTTCCCCACCGGCATTTTCTAGGACGGGCGCGGAGCCAGGGGACCATGCAGCAACTCCCTAGCCTCGGTTTCGCCTTTTTGGGTCTCCTGGGAGGCCCTCGTCGCCACGGCTGGATTCGCACCGAATTTCTGGTCAGAAGAAACCTTGGGAGAGGTCTGGGGAGTAGCTGTATAGGCATTGTCGGCTTCCCAGCGGCGACGCTGAAGCAAGGACGCGTGTTATCGCATGCCGCGCTTGTGGGGCGAAGTTGCCCTTCGTATGGAAGAGGCGTCACCCTAACATACTTATACTATATGTGCGTCGCCCCCCCAGGGGCGACGCGCGCACCGAGAAATCGTATAGTACATGTGTCGCGGCGGGCGCTTTCTGGCCACACCGCTCGGGAAACGACATACTACAAGATGGGTATACTATAGGTTCGGGTCGGACGCGCGCCTCCAAGGAGGACATACGGTATTAGTATATCCCTGTGCGTCCCATTTGTATGGAGGAGGCTCCCAGGTTCGATCGAGCGGAGCAGCGTCCTGGAGCAAGGCCTCATGCCGGAGCGTCCCGCTCACCCGTATCTGAGGGGCCGCGCGCCGCCGTTGCGCTCTCAATAGGGCCGCGCCCTAGGAGGAGGAAGAGCAGGAGGAGGAGGAGGAGGACGAGGAGGAGGAGGAGGAGGAGGAGGCGGAGAAGGAGGAGGAGGAGGAGGAGGAGGAGGAGGAGGAGGGGGAGGAGGGGGGAGGAGGGAGGAGGAGGAGGACGAGGAGGACGAGGAGAAGGACGGGGGAGGAGGGAGGAGGAGGACGAGGAGAAGTAGGAGGGGGGAGGAGGGAGGAGGAGGAGGAGGAGGAGGAGGAGGAGGAGGAGAGAGGAGGAGGAGGAGGAGGAGGGAGGAGGGAGGAGGGCGCGTGCTGCAGGATCTCTCTCTCTCTCTCTCTCTCCTCTGGGGCCGGTCTCGTCCCCGATCCCCTCCTCCTCCTCCTCCTCCTCCTCCTCTCTCCTCCCTCCCCATCCTCCTCCTCCTCCTCCTCCTCCTCCTCCTCCTTCGGTGGAGCTCCCTATGGGGCCACGGAGCGCTGTACTGGGTGGGGGGAAGCGCATGCGGGCACCCCCACTGTCAGAGCCCCGAATCATCAGGGGTAACTCGGGTCAGGGCTAACTCGGGTTCCTTTTTCGGGAATCCGAGCCCGAGTTACCCCGGATAACTCGGGCGCCCAAGTAAGAGTGACCTGTCGCCGGAGTGGCCTTCGGTGCGGGCCAAATGGGTTCCCCCGGTCGCCAAACGCGATGCGATAGGTAGCGTCTTGCGCGCTTGTGTGTTGGTCCCCCCGCGGTCCCCCAAAAGCAGCGCACCAAAGGACACTCTTACCCAGGGTCACTCTTGCGCGTAGTCGATCCCAAAAAATTGGAGCAGGCGGCTTTTGGCAGTTTTCGGCCTCCGAGGGCCCTCGCCGCGCCTCGGGCGCGTCAAAAAAGGACTCAGGACGAAAAACCGGTCCTGGGAAAGTGGTCCGGACCTCCTGGGTCCACGCACCAAAAAAATTGGAGCAGCCGGATGTCTGGGAGGAGTGAAGTGTGATGGGGCGGAGGAGCAGCAGCAGCAGGCGGGCGAGAAGGAGCGCCGTTCTCCTGGCGCCCCACCAGATTCCGCGAGAGAAGGCTTCCACTCGAGCGCAGGAGGCACCAAGCTCTGAGTCTAGGGTCGCCCGAGTGCGCAGCCGTACCACTGCACAGCATCCCGCGCAAGCCGGCCCAATCCCGTTTAGTCGGGCTTGATCCGGCCAACGGCCAATTCCCCGGCTCAGTGGCCCTCTCATCGGGCTCAGTTCGGAACGGGTTAGGACGAGGATGCACCCGTTCCCGAACGTTCCGGGCGTTCGGGGACGCTCTGAGAAGGCAACGGCGCCCGAGGCATCCTCCAGAGCCGCCGGATCTCAGAGATTCTCGATTTGTCCTCACCCGAGTTTGTCCTCGTCCTGGCTTCGTCTTATCATCAGGAGCGAAAGAAGGACGTACATGTACATGAATCCACGCTGGTTTCGAGAGCACGCATTGCACAAATGTTCGTATCACGCGGCCGGTCTCGCGAATCGAGGGGCCGTGTTCATGTACATAGCTGGGCGCGTACGTCCTCTGTGGGCTCCCTATATCAGTAGCCCATTCATAAGATGTTCTGGAAATGGCCTCGCGGGAGTTGCCTCCGGATGCCGTCCAGGCCCGGCTGCAGCACACGCCCGCCAGAGCGGGCACGGCGCCGCAGGGCCCAGGACCAGTCAGCGAGGAGCGAGGCTCTACAACTCGGGAGGGAAACGAACACGCGGGCATAATGAATCGCCGATCCCCATGGAAGTATAGGGCAATATCGGAAGTGGGGGGGGAGACGGAAAATTCAGAGGTGATGAGACAGGATTGCGAATCTTGGGGATTTGGGGGTATTTGCTTGTATGTCCCTGGGCCCCTTCAACAGCGACGCGGGCATAATGAATCGCCGATCCCCATGGAAGTATAGGACAATATCGGAAGTGGGGGGGGAGACGGAAAATCAAGAGGTGATGAGACAAGATTGCGAATCTTGGGGATTTGGGGGTATTTGCTTGTATGTCCCTGGGCCCCTTCAACAGCGAAGCGGGTGACCAGACGCAGCCACTGAACAGAAACGACTCACGAGCGAGGGAAGAAAACGGGGTCGTCTGCGCCGACGTTGGCGCCTAAACTGCCCGCGTAAGGTCGTGCGTGAGCGCCCTGTCGCGCTGGCGGCCCGACGTCAGGTCGATGCGCCATCTCGTGTAAACCCCGCTTCTGGTCGTCGCTCGCTTGTCCCTCGTCAGGGCGCGCCACATCAGGGGATCCATGTTTTGGTTTTTCGGCCGCCAAATGTCGGGTACGGGGTGCGCTGGCGTGGTGTGGCGGAAGAGGCACAGAGAACATAATCGCATGGAAATGTCGGACGGGAGTAGGACGAGGATCAATTCGTTCCAGAGCGTGCTGGAACGCTCTGAGAAGGCAGCGGCGATCGAGACATCCTCCAGAGCCGCTGGATCTCAGAGATTCTCTATTTATCCTCGCCTGAATTCATCCTCGTCCTGATTTCGCCTTGCCGAGCAACGGGGCTCCCACCCCTTCAGAACCCAGACGTGCTCTGAAAAGGGTTTCCGCCACATTGGCTCCAGATTCCGCGAGAGGGTCGATGTGGTCGATGCGGAGGAGGAGCAGAGGAGTGCCGGTTGGCGGAGGAGCAATCATATTCAGAGCGCCTGCAAGAGGAGGAGGATGAGCAAGGAAGGGGGGGAAGAGGGCGTTCTGCTTCTTCTGCGCATCATCCTAACTATCCCTCTCCACCTTCTCGCCCTCCATCCCCGCCCCCGACCTCTTACAACACCAGCTCTCCCTTCCCCTCCACTCCCCTCTTCTTCCATTTCCCCTCTCTCCACTTTCCCCCCTCGTCCTCCATCTCCCCCTCCACCTTCCCTCCCCCCCTGCGCCTGTCGCTTCCGCACAAAACCGCACGCAACCTTCTCCTTTCCGTTTCCTCGATCCCCTCCACTCCGCACCTTTCTCCTCCCTTTTTCGCTTTCCGCGGCCCCCCCCTTTCGCCTGCAGGTGATGGAGCGGATATTGCGGGACAAGTTCCGGCGGTCCGAGGATTTCCGGAAGCGGCTGAAGGATCCAAATGCTCGTTCCCCCCGTCCACGAGGAAGAGCAGCGGGGAAGCGGCAGCAGGACGGGACGGGAGGGGGAGGAAGGGAGGAGGAGGAGTAGGCGGAGGAAGAGAAGGAGGAGGCGCATGGAGGAGCCACGTCCATCCCGCCACTCCCTTCTCGCTATCCCTCTTCGCTCTCTTGTTCTTCGTCCACCTCCTCCTTCCTCCTCTTTCTTCTCGTCCTCATCCTCTCTCTCTCTCTCATTCCTCCTCCTGCTTCCAGTTCCAGTATCGCTCGTCTTCGGCCTCGTGTTCCTCCTCCTCCATCTCCTCCCTCCCACCGTCCCTCCCTGCCTCCCTCCCTCGCTCCCTCAAGGTGCCTGCACTGAGGGGGCCCCGCGCCTCTGTGCCTGCAGGGATACCGCTGATCCGCGGCAGGCAAGGCAATTCTGCCTGGCAGTGCTTTTAGGCCTTCACTGTGGGATCTGGGCCCCCACACCTGCAGTAGCTGCCCCATTTCACTCGCATCATTTTGTTGCCGCTGGGATGGCCTCGAATGACGCAGCGAAGACAGTCATCAAGACTGCTCCATAGACTACCCCTCGCGGCGCTCGTCTTCAGATTCGCTCCGCTGGCACTGGTGCGTCCTCTCCCGATGCGGCTTGCGCTGGCTGCAGTCCCGAGATGGACATGCTTGGCGGCGACTCAGATGATGAACTGTCCGGTGAGCAGATCCGCACCATCCATGCTGGCTTGCTCAAAGAGGAGGTGGCAGCATTGCAGGGTCAGTGCGAGCCCATGGTATCTTTAACGGTCACGACCACAGTCCAGACTGAAAAAAAGTCTATCACGGATGCGTCCACGAAGATCTTCGACGAGTGCCTCAAGAAATGCCAGGATGACTTCCAGAAGGTCGGCACCAAGCTCGACGAGCGCATCACCGCTGCCGTGGCGCCGCGTATTGATGATCTTCGACGTCAGCTCACTGGACGGATTGATGATATTCACTCGCAGTTGCAGCAGCAGGTCAACCGCGTCAATGGACATGATGAGCTAGTCGCACAGATGGCTGCACATATCAAGAAACTGGAGGAGGCCTTGGTGGTGGTTAATACACAGTCTCCACGTCCAGTTCAGGCTCAATCTACGCAGTTCGACTGGGACACGCACGGCGCGATCGTCCGCGTGGCGGCTGGGCAATTGGTATCTAAACCAGATGTGCTCGCCGAACTCACTCCTTGGTTGTCAGAGTCTGGCCTCGGCGCCGAGAAGTGCGAGCTCCAGTCCGCCGACCCCCTCTCGAAGCAGTTCATTCTCAAATTCACGGGCGCTGCTGGCCTCGCTGCCCGCCGTGTGGGCAAGGCATTGCAGTCGCTCCGTGGCAGTGGCGGTGTTTAGCGTCAATTCGCCGTGGCAGCCCACGGCGGTTGTGGAGAGGTGCGCCTTCATGTGTCCCAAGACAAGAACCCGCGCCAGGTCAAGCTCGAGATCCTCGGCCGCAAGACGAAGATGGCGCTGCAGACGGAGTTGCGTGGCCACAAAGTCTTCTTCGATCGCGGTCGTGGATGGGTCGTCATCGGCTGGGATGCGCTGTGTAAGATCGAGCCGGAGCAGCGCAGGGAGAAGGCCGACATCATGTGAAACCAGGCGACGATCCGCAAAAAGGGCTTATCCAAGTCCGACCGCGTCTCGTGAACCAGCTCGATCTTCGAGCCTGATGCCGAGCCAGAGTGGCGTCTTTAGCCGGTTTGCGAAGCTGCTGCCGAGGTCGACGTCGCAGGTGCTTTGTGACATGAGTTCGGTTGGTGGCATTAATTCCACGACGTGGACTTACTTGTCGGGCGCTTCTCCAGTTTGAGGGGGCTCATGCATCTGAGAAGCTGGGTTATATGTTATATGATTAAGCTGCGCCTGGGATCCTTTGTTACTTCGTTTCAGAAGGTGCATCAAAACGAGGCGCAGCGTCGAATCTTTACGCAACGGATTCTTCCAGGGGCTCTGATGTTTTCGAGTTTCTGCGGTGGGGGTCGCGAGGGTCGCGTCCGAGGGGGTGTCGCCGCGGTCGTCCCAAGGGCCCTGGTTCCAGGAAGCCCCGCCCTTGCTCTTCCTCTGGGTGTCTCCTCCTCCCCCGCTGCCCCCATTCCTGGTCGCGTGCTGCGCGTAGTGATTTCCAGCGAAAGCATCAAGATAATCCATTGGAATGTTCATGATCACGAGCTCCCGGCAGCTCGAGTTCGGGGCGCGTGCAATCTCATATCCAGGGATCGGGCCGAATCAGAAAGCTAATCCGGAGGGCTGTTTAACGGTTGCCACGGGAGATTCTAATTTTGCGTCCGAGGAAAATCTGAGCTTTGCGAAGCCATCGGAGGCCCAATGAAATGCTCGGCCCCAGCACGCGCAGGCGCCGAGATGGCGTGACACACTTGATTCGTTCATTGAGATTTCGCCTGCTGCCGCCACCCTTTCCGATGAGCAGTCGGATGCGGTAGCAGTGATTGATAGATGTTGGTTCTCTTGGCCAGGCTGGATGATCGTGCAAATCTTCGCGCGATCGAGTCGCGGGCAACCCTGGGGAGCTCTCCAGAGGCAAGGTGAGTGACAATGCTGCTCTGGTGGCGCCGTTTCTTCCCCGCAAGGTCTCGAATGAGTTCGATCGCCCCATCTCGAAGCACATCGCGAAGTCATATGTGCATATATAGATGTCTGTCATTGGGGAACATATTGAAGCTGAAGAGAGTCATTTGGATAGTATGTGCCCTCCCCGTCGTCTTGACATATATAGAGTACTCATGCAAGGGGCTAGTCGACTTGCCCGCAATCTCTTGGCTTTCAAGCATCCGCGTGCTCCTTGCTCGTGCTCTGGCGCGCGCTGCGTGGCGCCAGGACTGCGCGCGTGCCGAGCAACTGTTGAGCTCGCGCGAGGTGGCCCCCGACTTTGTCGAGATTCGCGGTGGCCAGGTGCGCTTCCTCCACCCGGCCTCGTTTCAACGTTGGCCGAACGAAGTGCGACCTAAAACTGCTGGTCGCGATCGTGCTTCGGCACAAACACGTCTCGATCAAGCGCATGATGTAGGCCCGAGGACCCGTCTTCGACAACAGCTCCAAGCCATTGATCGCCGAGCTCGTCTTTGGGCCCCGTTTTCCAGGAGATTGGTTATGAGAGCTATCGTAATGGATGGTGAGGATGGAGGATGTTGCCGATCGCGCTGATGCCCTTACTTCGCAGTGGTGTTCGGTCTTTGCTCGAAAACCATGGCCTGTTCAGACTGCCTCTGCTTGCGTCGATCGCTTCGTGAAGCCCGTCAACTTCGATGATTGCCAGCCGTCGTCGCTCGCTTCTCCGAAGTAGGTGGCACTTCGAGTTAGTGATTCCGCTCCTGGAGTGGGCCGACTGCGCAACGCTGCCTGGCTTGCCAACCCTTCTGGGTTTCTTTTGCTGCGCGACGCCCTCCCGAGGGCGCTGCCGGGCAACGGCCCTTTCTTGTCGGAGAGTGTGACCCTGCAGGCCTTCTTGCCAAAGGGCGAGCTCGCCTCCGACTCGGCTGATGGCGAGTGTGACCGGGAAGCGAATGCAGTTTGAGTCTTGGGGATCCGAAACACCGGCATTAAGCTTTTGACTGCGGCTGTGGGCCGTTTTATTCCCGGGAACCAGCGCGGCTTCATGAGAGGCCGAAGTATATGTATGAATAATATGGGAGTTGATGCGTTATCCCGTGCACATTCAGCTCGGCCCGAAGCTGATGACGATTGTCCTGTTCTATATGCTCTTGATTATGGGCATGCGTTTCCTAGCTTGTCTCAGGAGTTCGCAACGCTCGCGTTGGTGAAGATGGGATGTCCGTCAGCGCTGATTGGTATTATCGCTATCTTATTTGATGCCATCCAGGGTGTGATCGCGATCCAGGCGCCCCTGTGCGCCGCTGCCTTGCCGCCCGTGCCGGTTGACCTCCATGGCTGCTTCGAGAGCAAGCGGCATGGAATCAACAGAGCCCGTGCCGATGACCTCGGCGGCGACTTCAAGATGCCCAGATGCGCAATCCAGCTTTTCCGCGTTATGAATATTACCGAGAGGATTGCCCACTTGAAATGAAACCGGCGAAGTGTGTGATTGCTCCCGTTCCTGGCAGACTTACCTCTGAACTCAAAATGAATATTCCGAAGTTGTTGGACATGTTTATTCCGGCCTGGAGCCAGTTTCGCATTGAAGATTAATTGTTTTATCCATGGATGCGGGTGGGCCCTGGGGCTTCAGAGGGCGATTCTTGGGCACTGCCGATATCGAAATCTCGTGTCCGTTGTGCTGCTGTTAGTCGTGGGCCGACTCCTGCTTCTTCGTCGGCCGTCTTGTACAGTGCGCGCTGTACTTTGGTGCTGAGCTATGTGATGCAACTCTTGCCGATGCCGAGGTCCCTGGAGCAGATTGAACTGGGCTGTCTTTCGCAGGTATTCAGGCCCCCCTTGGGGAATGTTGGGCATGCTGATCGGTTGCATCTCAATGAGTTCCACGGGCCGAAAGCGCGCCCTCTAGAGATTACGGGTGCTTTGACGATGGCAAGAACTGCGGTGCACACCCTGCCAGGACATGCTCGTGTCTCTTGCTGGCTGTGTGCTCTGAATGACAGCGCGGCGAGTGCCGACGAGCTTCGATTGGCGATGCTGCCAGCTGGTCGACTTTCTCCTGCCCACTGGAAGTCAAAAGTATATGGTGAGCATATGGCTGCCGCCTGCCGTGGTTCGTCTTCTGAACTGAGTTCCGAGGCCGCTCGTGTCTTTCGGCCCCCTAGGGTTCCCCTCGAGGCCGGTGACCCCCAGCGGGCCGCGAAGATAGCTTGCGCTCAGTGCTGGCAATCGTGCTCCTCGGATGAACTTCTTAGGTCTCGCTTGTGCAAGCTGTTCCCCTCCAGAGCTTAAGGGATCGCTCGTGGGGGCTTTGTTTCTGCCCGCCAGGTTTAAAATGAGGCCCCCCTGGCTTGGGTTTGGTCCTGTCTCCGCGCTGTTCCAGGCGGCTGGCTGACCAGCCATCGTATTTTGCATGCCCGTGGGAAACTCTCGCGTCTGCTCGGCTGTGAGAACGGACCAGTTTTTTTTGAGGCATTACTTATGTTGCCCCAGGTTAGTTTGGTCCGTTTTCCTATCCCTCCGCTCTCGTCCTTTATGCCTCGTCTCCTTGGATCGCATTGGGATCCCTGGATACTGCGCCGCCCCCATTTTAGAAGAAATGTATGTCGCTACGCACACGTATCACCAGCTCCGTCTCCTTCCTCCCGAGGCCCCCTCTCTCCCTCAAGCCGCCCGCGACTCCCTCGAACCGGCTTTTCGTCCTGAGTTGTTTTTCGACGGTCCCGAGGCCCAGCGAGGGCCCCTGGGGCCGAAAATAGCCAAAACCTCCCGTCCTGATTTTCTCACGACACGATCGTGTCTGTTTTTTTCCTGCGCGCCCCGACACCGCGCTGCAAGCCTTTCGGAAGGGTGGGTGCTGGACGCCAGCCCCCCCGCATGATGGGGGGCGCGCTTGCCCGCGGCCCGCGGGCTCTCCGCCCGCCGCCGGCCCGCGGCAGGGGGCGGGAGGGGTGTTGGAGCCAAGCAGTGGCCAAGCGTCCTGGCTCGTCTCTACACGCTGTTCATATTTAAGTATTTGGAAGTTATTTGATTTGTTAGGGGGCCAAGATCCTCTCACTTCTAATTGTTTCATCCTGGGCCTCTTCCTGGCCACTGGGGGGCCAGGAACAATGAGAAACGAGCACAATTTCAGACGAACGCGATTTGAAATGAACGACGCGCAGGCCCACCAAAGAATGTTCTAAGAGCTTCGGGTGGTTTGTTCCAAACGTTCTGAGAACATTCCTGGCTGAGTCTGTCTTGTGTTGTCACACCGGGCTTGTGTTCCCAAAAAACATTTCTGGGTTCTGAGAACATGTCGTGGTAGGTCTAAGGAACCACGCACGCGCCAAGGACGCCTTCACAACGTGGTATCTTCCCTCTTCCTTCGTCCTTCCCCCTCCCCTTCCTCCCACTCTCCCTCGTTCTTCCCCTCCTCCTCTTGCAGGGCCCGCGCCAATTCCAATGGCGGGCAGAAATGCCAGGACGGTCGGTCCCTGCTCAATGGAGGGGGGTCTGAAGGATGGATGGAGGTTGCGGGGGGAGTCGGCCGGAGGGGCCGCACGAGCACCAACGAGCCTAGCCATGGGGCTGCTGGGCCGATGCTGCCGAAGCCACTTTAGTGGACCCCCTTTCTGGGGTTCTGGAGGGAAGCAAAAACACACAGACACAACTAATCGGCGATTCCCAGGAAAGTATGGAAAAATATTGGAAGTGGGGGGGGAGACAAAACCCCAGAAACTATGGGAAAATATGGGGAATATTTTTATTTGTACGTGTGTGTATTTATTTGTGTGTCCCAGGGCCCCTTCAGGGGTGCGTCGGCTGCTCTGGCGACCCTCTTCCCCCCTCTCCCGCCCCCGTTTGTCGTGCCCGCTGCTCCCCCCCGGGTCCCTCCTTCATCTCTCCTACGTCCTCCTGTTGTCCCGTTCGGCATCACTGTTCTATCCTATACCCTGCCGTTCTTCCCTCCTAGCCATGAAGCCCTGAAAAAGGAGAGAGAGAGAGAGAGAGACAGAGAGAGAGAGAGAGAGAGAGACGTAGTCCAGCTTCTCACTGCTGCTCCGAGGTTTTCTATCCCTTCGGACATCCTGCGCGATTTCAAGGATCTGTCATTCAGCATCGAGGTGCGGAGCTTCGGTCTGGTTAGCGAGGCTGCCAGATATCGTACTGCGTTTTTCTCCTCGGCGTTCCACCGCGGTCGGGAAGCTCCTCCTCGTGTCGCCCGTCCGTCGGTCTCCCTCGTCCGTGGGGGGGCTTCCCTTTTGGCTCGAGCTCCTGCCCAGGTTCACACCGCGCCCTCTCCTCCACCCCTCAGCAGGGCGCTGCAACGCCAGTATCGTTCGTGGGGCCGCTGCTCGGGCGCTGGTGGGGAAATGCTTGGAGGAGGAGGGGCACGACGAGGCCTTCGACCATTCGTGGTGACACAGTCCGCGAGTCCGCGCCCTGAGTTCCGAAGGGGAAGGGGGAGAGGAGGGGGGAGGAGGAGGAGGATGAGGAGAAGGAGGCGGACGATGAGGAAAAAAGAGAGGAGGAACAGGAGGAAGAGGAGGAGGAGGAGGAGGAGGGCAAGGAAAAGGAGGAGGAGGAGGAGGAGGAGGAGGATGAGGAGGAGGAGGAGGACGAGGAAGAGGCGGCGCGAGAGGAACATGAGTTGCAGGCGGACTTGGGGGAGGAGGAAGGAAACTTGCCTTCTCCAAGGCTCCCCTCTTTTTCCATTCTGCTGATTGTGCCTTAGACCGGCGCGGCCCGCCTGCTCTTCGACCGTGCTGGCGCTCGCCCCCGCCGTGGGCAAAAGCTGCCGCAGGAGACCGGCGAGCGGGAGCTGGTGTGGGACACCCCCGACGACGGCTTCTGGGGGCAGTCCAAAGGCGAAGGGCCAGGGGCGAAAAGGAAGGGGGCCAAGAGGAGCAGGAGGAGGAGGAGGAGGACGACGAAGAGGAGGAGGAGGAGGACGACGAAGAGGACGAGGAGGACGACGAAGACGACGAGGAGGACGAGGACGAGGAGGAGCAGGAGGACGAGGAGGAGGAGGAGGAGAAGGAGGAGGAGGAGGTGGAGGAGGAGGAGGAGGAGCAGGAGGAGGAGGAGGAGGAGGGGGAAAGGAGCAGGAGGGGGACTCAAACGGAAAATGCCGCCACCGCTGCCCATTCCTCGTCGCACCGGCTGGATTCGCGCCGAAACTTTGGTCAGGACGCATCCCAGGAGAGGCCTGTGGCGCAGTGGTATCGGTATTTCCCAACCGTCCTGTGGTGTTGGGTCCTCGTTTTGAAGTGAACGCGCCCCGCGTTCCCGCTCCTCTCCTCCCTCTCCTCCCTCCTCCCGTCCCTTGCCGCTGACTTCCGCACCCAGTACTGCGCTTTCTGGCCCCGCAGGGAGCTCCACCGGAGGCCCCAGTGGCAGCGCCCGCATGCAGTTCCACCCTTCCTTTAGGCACACCCCTCACACGTTCCGTGGTCCCATAGGGAGCTCCACCTACGTAAGGCCCTGGTGGCTGCCCCCGCATGTAGTTCCACCCCAATTTCGGTGCAATCCTCACACGTTTCGTGGCCCCATAGGAGTCTCTACCGAAGGCCCCAGAGGCAGCGCCCGCATGCGGTTGCACCATCCATTTCGGCGAATCCTTCGCTCGCTCCGTGATCCCATAGAGGCTTCACCGAAGGCCCCAGCGCCAGCGCCCGCGTGTGGTTCCCCCCATTTCGATGCACCCTTACACACTTCATGGCCCCAGTGGGAGCTCCACCGAAGGCTCCAGTGGCAGCGCTCGCATGCGGTTCCACCTTCCATGTCCACAAACCCTTCACACGTGTAGTGGCCCCATGGGGAGCTCCACCTAAGTCCCCAGTGGCAGCGCCCGCATGGAGGCCCCGCCAAATGTCGGCACACCCTTCACGCGCTTCGTGGCCCCATAAAGAGATCCACCGACGGCGATATTTGCAACGACGGTACCCACAACTGCGTATGGTTTGGCCCTTCGCAAGGCGTATTCCCAACCATCCTGTGGTGTTGGGTCCTTGTTTTGAAGAGACGGTCCCCGCGTTCCTCTCCTCTCCTCTCCTCCTCCCCTCCTCCTCCTCCTCCTCCTCCCTCCTCCTCCTCTCCTCCTCCCCCTCCTCCTCCTCCCCCTCCTCCTCCTTCGCCTCCTCCTCCACTCCTCCTCCTCCTCCTCCTCCTCCTCTCCCCTCCCTCCTCCTCCCTCCTCCTTTTCGTCCTCCTCTCCACCACCTCCTCCTCCTCCTTCTCCTCCTCCTCCTCCTCCCTCCTCCCATCCCCGCCTCTGCTCACCGCATGCCGAAGATTTCGGCGCACCCCTCACACGCTCCGTGGCCCCATAGGGAGCCAGTCCCAGCCCGTGGCCCCCAGCTCCCCCGAGCCCCTGGCCCCGCCGCCCCTGGGCCGGCCAATCCTAAAGGTCCTAGCCCGGGCGCTTTGCGCCGAAGCAGGGCCCTGGGGCCCGTGTGACACGCGGCTTCCGCGTGTCCCTGCGCTGCGTTTTTGGCTGGAGCACGCGACGCCAGCGTGTCGGTGCAGGTGAGAATCGCCCAGACCCAAGAGCGCCACGCCCGGTTTGCGCGTCGCGGCCAGAGCGTCGTCGTGCAGGGACACGCGCAAATTGCCTGCTACGACGAGGGCCCCAGCCCCGGCCCCAGCCTCAGCCCCAGCCCCGGCCCCTGCGGCCCCTGCTTCGGCCCGACCTCAGCCCTAAGCCTGGCGGTGCACGCCAGAGCAGCTGGCGGGACCCGCGTGACGTGCAGACTCGGCGTGTCCCTGCGCCGCGTTCTGGCTGGGACACGCGGGTCCAGCGTGTCGCGCGCGAGAGCCGTTCTGGCCCAGGTCCCCGCTCGGCCCCGGCGCGGCATCGCAACGGCCCCGGCCCCCAACCCCGGCCCAGCCGCGGCCCCGCTACAGCCCTGGGCCTGGCCCCTGGCCCCATGCAGCCCTGCCCGGGCGCCGCGCGCCAGGGGAGAGCCCCTGGCGGAGCCCGCGTGGCAGGCAGATTCTGCGCCTTCCTGCGCGGTGTCCTGGCCAGGACACGCGAATCCAGTGTGTCGCGGCGCGCGAGAACCGCTCCGGCCGCAGCCCCACCCAACCCGGCAGCGCAACCCAGCCAGGGCCCCCTCAGCCCTGGCCCTGGCCCGAGCCCCGTGCCCCGCCAGCCCTGGGCCCCGAACGCCGCGCGCCAGAGCACGGCCCCTGGCGGGGCCCGCGTGATACGTAGATTCTGCGTGCTCCTGTGCGGCCTTTTGGCTGGGACACGCGAATCCAGCAATTCGCGGCGCGCGAGAACCGCCCCCGCCCCGGCCCGCAGCGGCCCCAGCTCCCAGCCCCAGCCCCCCCGCCCCAGCCCGAGCCCCTGGCCCCGCCGACCCTGGGCCGTAAGCCTAGCCTGGGCGATGCACGCCAAAGCAGAGCTCCCGCTGGGGCCCGTGTGACACGCAGATTCTGCGTGTCACTGCGCAGTCTTTTGGCTAGGACACGCGAATTCAGCGGGTCGCAGCGCGCGAGAACTTCCGGCCCTGGCCCCAGCTTGGCCCCGGCCCCGGAAGGTAACCGCCCCGGCCCCCAGCCCCAGCCCCGATCCGAGCCCCTGGGCCCGCCAGCCTGACCCCAGCCCTAGCCCGGGCGCCTCGCGCAGAAACAGGGCCCCTGGCGGGACCTGCGTGACACGCGGATTCCGCGTGTCCCTGCGCGGCTTCCTGGCTGGCACACGCGAGTCTAGCGTGCCGCAACAGCGCTGGCCCCGGCCCGCGCCAGGGCTGTTGCGCCAGATTTGCGTGTCACGGCCAGAACATGCACCGCGCAGGGACACGCACAATCTGCGTGTCACGCGTGCCCCGCCATGGAGGGCGTTGCAATTCTCGTTCGCAGGGCCGGGGCAGGGGCCGGGGCCGGCGGGGCAGGGCGCTGGGGCGGGGCGTGCTGCAATTCTCGCGAAGGACACGTTGGATTCGCGCGTCACCCCCAGAACTCGACTAGACGTAAGAGTGACCTTTCGCCGGAGTGACCTGTGCTGCGGGCACAGATGGGCCCCCAGATGGCCGAACGCGAAGCGGTAGCAGCGGCTAGCGCGCCTGGATTTGGCCTCACCGCGGCCCCCCCCAAACCGCTACCAAAGGTCACTCTTACCCAGGGTCACTCTTACGTGTAGCCGAAGAACGCACAGGGGCACGCGAAACTGGCGCGCAAGGGTGCGATGCCCAGGGCCTTGGACGGATGCGTGGCGGCCCATCCGTTCGAGGCTCCATGCCGTGATCGCGGTCGTGCCGGCGCGTCACGCGGCTTCTGCGCGGCACGTGGCCCAGGGGTTCGGGCCGATCTGCGGCGGCCAGGGTCCGTTCGAGCTTCTGCGCTGCGTGCCAGCTGAACTTCAGATCGTGAATTACCTACCCCGCTTTCGCTTCCAGGCAAAACCAAGCCATACCACGCGCCTCCTCGTCAAGCGGCCTGACCAGTACAGGCTGTAATTTGGCATCGTCGGGTATCTCTTGGAAGCGAGGGTAGTCAAAAGCGAGGTAGATTTGTTTTCCCCCTTGAACTGATGTGTTTACGTGACACGGTAATCCAGCGTGTCGCGCGGCTTCGGATCTCGGACGGGCCACGACGACAGATTTGGTTCGAGACCCAGGGCCGCACGGCTCGCGTGATTCGCGCGTCATTCGGGCACGAAGGACACGCCGCATTCGAGAGCCACATGCTGTCGATTGTGTCGTGCTAAATGATCCGCGGACTCCGTGTGCAACGTTCAAGACCACGAACCTTCGCCAAGAATTCGGGAGGCCGTGGGTCCTGGCCGCTCGAGGCTCCCAGTGGCGTAACACGACACGCGGGATATTCGTTTTGCGTGGGCATGCGCGGACACCACGGCCCCTCGGGGATGAGCAGGAACGGGCATTGATCGGCTGTGATCGGCGACCATTAGCGGGTTCGCTCGATCACAGCGGTCGGATCACAGTGATCGAACCGTGATCGCTGTGATCACTGCGGTGATCGCCCAGTGATCGTCACCGGGATCCGAAGTGGGATCCGATCACGTGATCGGGGGTGCGTGATCGCCCAGTGATCGGCCAGACACTAGGTTCGTGGCCCCACAGGGAGCTCCGCCGAAGGTCCCAGCGCTACCGCCCGCATGCGTCCCCCCGCCCAGTACAGCGCTTCGCGACCCCATAGGGAGCTACACCGAAGGTCCGGTGCTACCGCCCGCATGCGCCCCCCCCCCCCCCAGTACAGAATGTCGTGGCCCCATTGGGAGCTCTACCGACGGCCCCAGTGGTACCGCCCCCATGCGACCCCCCCACCCAGTACGTTTTGTAGCCCCGTAGGGAGCTCCACCGAAGGCCCCAGTGGGGGTGCCCGCATGCGTCCGCCACACCCAGTGCAGCGTTTTCGTGGCCCTATAGGGAGCTCCACCGACGGCCCCAGCGCTACCGCACGCATGCGTCCCCCCCCCACCCAGTACAGCGTTTCGTGGCCCCATAGGGAGCTCCACCGAAGGTCCCAGTGCTCCCGCCCGCATGCGCTCCCTCCCCAGGACAGCGCTTCGTAGCCCCATAGGGATCTCCACCGACGGCCCCAGTGCTACCGCCCGCATGCGTCCCCCCACCCAGTACAGCGCTTCGTGGCCCAATAGGGAGCTCCATTGAAGGCCCCAGTGGCACCGCTGCGTCCCCCCCAGCCAGTACAGTGCTTCGTGGGCTTACCTCGGCGGAGCAACTGGACCGAGGCCGCGGAGCAACTGAAACCAAGCGGCGGAGCAACTGACACCAAGCGGAGGAACGGCGGAGCAACTGAGCCAGTTGTTGGCCCAGTTGCTCCGCCCGCCCATCTCAGTTGCTCCGCCCGCCCCCCGTCCCCCCTGCGCCTCTGGGGCAGT